AGCGGGCGGAGCCTGGGGGAAGGACGGCTCAAGCCCCCCGTGCCCGACTCCATCCCTCTCCCCACCTGCGCATCCCCTGGCTGTGTGTGCGGGACCAGCTGTCCCTGCGCTGGCTCTCACACGGGGGTTTAGGGCACCGCTGTGCCCTTGGGGCAGCGCAGAATTGAGCTCCCCGCAGAGGGATGGATGCTCGGGCTGCTGCCAAATCCCACGTATGCGCTGCCATGCCTGAAGTTACCAGGAGCAGCTGAGCCGGATGCTGCTGGCTTCCTTGCGTTCGTTAGCAGTGGTGCAAATGATTCCTTTTGGGTAGGTCCTACAAAAACATCCACTGAATCTTCCCTAAGAGCAAGGCGGGCATTTTGAAACCATAATTTAGAGAGCTCTTGGCGAGCTCCTTGGAAGCTGAGGCCAGTCTTCCCATCTTCGGTAGGGGAAGCACCGCCAGGGCACGGCCAGCTTGGCAATAAGTTTTATGGGAATGGTACCCGGGGAGCTGGAGCAGATGGCTCCCCAGGAGAGCTGCTTTGAGGAGGATTCAGCGCATCCCAACCAGCTGCCTGCTCTTTGTTGTACACAGCAGAATTTTTTCTTTCCAGCACAACCTCATGGTAAGTGGTTTGGGGAGTTTAAAACTGGGAATTGGGAACCCGGAGCTTGGTGCCGTATCACTACTGCCTTGGAAAAGCCATTTGCAACCTCTCTTCTCCGAGGCGAAGCCGGGGCGGAGGGGATGGGCACTCACCAGCTGGGTGCACTTGTCAGTGCAATAGCCCGTGAGGACGAAGGCGTCCTCACCCGGGGGAATGGCCATCACCGGCGTGTAGACCAAGCCCAGCTCCATGATCCCGGCATCGTAGCGTCGCAGGGTGGCCGTGTAGTAGAGGCGGATCCCCGAGGAGTCACGACGACCTGGTGGGCGAGAGGATGAGGCTGCAAGTCACTGCGGGAGAAGTGACAGCTGCCAGGACAAGGTCAAGAGTGAAAAAGGATGCTGTGCTGCAGCGGGGAGATGTGCACCAGCCTCTCGCTCACAGCTCTCTTCATGCATGCAGTTCTTATTGGTTTTAAATCTTCAGTATTTTCATGTGAGTCTTTGCTGAGTGGCCCCAGACATGTGCCTGGTCCCTTAGAGAGATCACCAGCCTGAGGGTGAATAATTCCCAAGAGAGGTAAGGAGCACTTTTGGAGAGCTCAAAGCAGAAGGGTGCTTTGGAGAACTCCCTCAAAAATATGTCTCATTGCATATTCTTTAACAGATGCATCCAAAGAACTAACTAAGGCTGTGCTGTTATTGGGGGCCTGGCAGGAGGAGAAATGCCTTTGGAGTAAGTATCCCTTGCATTTGGAAAGCTTCTGGTCTTTCTTGCATTTGAGATTGCTCCGTTTAACCCAACCCCAGCACCCAAACACAGCTGGTGGGAACTAAAGAAGAACCTGTGCCCATGATGTGCCCTGGCATGTGCTGACCACAGGGTTCTCAAGTTCTGCTGAGATGTAAAGCCGAGCTCTGGCTCCCGTTTGCCACCCAGCTTTGGGAGCAAAGGCAAAGGGCAGGTTCGGTAGGTCGGGGGGGCTCAGGTTGGCTTTGAACCCCCTGTCTCTGGGCTGGAGCCCACCCAGGGATAAGAATAACAGGGGAGACACTATTGGTCAACACGCACAAGCAGATAAATTATGAAAGACATGAGCTCTGTATTTATAGACGTGTTTCTTCTCGAGTTGCTGAATGTGCTATGATTGATCTACAGTACATATGCTCTGGTCTCCTAAAAATATACTTGGTTAGTCAAGAAGCTACTTGTTTTTATGTAAATGAAGAAACTGGGTTGTTTGGTATCCTTTTTTTTTTAATGTGTCTCCTGACAATGTTATCAAAGCAGGAGTACCATTAAAACAACATCTAGATTTCCCCATCCTCAGCCAGGCTGGTGCTGTCTCTCTGGTGACTTCGGCACTGCTGTTGCTCTTGGCTCTGAGCTCAGACCCACCACCACCACCTTGCACAGGAATTGGGGGGACACCCTGTGACAGCCCAGCTATATAATGGTGTTGCCATGGATCGTTGTCCTGCAGGAATAATGTGTGTGGGCAGCTTTCTGCAGGGCTAAGCCTTCCCCAAGCATTCCTCCCCACCACGGGGCATGCATGAGGACAGGGTCCAGCCTCCAGTGAGGATGACTTTGCTGAGACCAGAAAGGCAGCAGCACAGTGCGGATTTAACATATTCCTCCTGCTAGGACAGACCTGGACCATCAGGTTTCCAGAAAGTTGCAAACTGGTCTGTGCTTTTGGCCAAGTTTTCTTCTGAAAGAGCCCTCCCCAGCAGGATGGCCATGCCTGGCATTTACCCAGTTTTCCTGCCACTGCCTTACTGGGGATGCGTTGGGCATCGCCATGTGCCCACCCACCTTTGAACACCAAGGGATTGTGGTAATGAATCTCGAGGCGCAAGTATCTGGAGGAGCCCAGGCCACCGAAAGCAAGACCTGCTTCTTCAGGGTAGTAGAAAGCCTGGAAGCAGAGGGAGGGTGTTAGGGGAGCAGTGGGTGGCTTTCCTGGGGACAAGGCAGAAAAGGCAAAGGGAAATGTCTGGGCATAGTCGTGACCCCCACCGTGGGCTGAGGGACATGACTTGTGCTCTTGGTTGTGCTTGGTGAGCTGGTCTTGCTGCCAAAGGCTTCTCACATGCCAGCATGCACATGCAGTGGCATAGCCACAGAGTAGGGGCATCACACCAAGTCATGGTGCTGAGGAGGTGGGCTGGAGTGAGGTGGAAACTCAGACGCATATAGAGAAAGGATGGGGATGTCTGGCAGGACTGAACCCAAATTCCAGCAGAAATGGGTCAGGGCAGCCCACACAGGAAAATCCCCAAATGGGATTGGGAAGGGTTGGGAGGCAGGAGGAAAGCACCCAGGAGCAAAGCTTTCACCCAGGGTGGCAGGTCCCATCTTGCACCCACCTGCGCTCCCATGGCCCACGCTGCAAGCACATGCCTGCAGTAGTTGAGCCGGTCTGGCTTCATCTTGGAGTCACAGGGCCCGTTGTAATGGGGGAAGCTGTCGAACTCAGCAGCACACTGGAAGACTTCCATGTGGTGGACCAGGGCCTCATTGCCTGCCGTGATCACTGGCTCGTACTACAAAGCAGCATCCAAGAAGGAGAACACGTTAAGACAGTTTGCTGAGAGCCCATCCCTGGGGGCTGCTGACTGCACAGGCTCCAGAAGAAGCCCAAGGCAGGTATGTCTGCTATCCATTATTGGGTGGAAGACAGTTTCTGCAGCATGGTAGGGAGGGAATTTTGCTCTGGGCACGAGGCACCAAGGGCCAAGAGCTCTTGATTGGCTTTGGGACCAACCCAGAGTCCACCAGAACCCATAGAGAACCATCTCATCCCTTCTCCAGCAACAGATGGACCGGGTCAGCAGAAGAGCTTGGTCTGCTTTGTGACGGCTGAGTCCTTTGCCAGTTTTGCAGAGTTGAGGTGACCCTGGGGACATTTTTTTTCCTAAAGAGGGTCCTGGCCACATTACGGTAGCTCTGCCTGCAGCTATTGGGTTTCGTTTCTAGCCAACAGCTGCTTGGGGCACGAGGAGGGGGATTTGGGGTAGAAAGAGTGACTTCAAACAAGCCTGAGGAACGGCTCTGGCTAAAAGCGCCAGCTGTAGAAACGATCTGCAGCAGCGGGAAGGTATCAGGAGTTACGCACTTTTTACTTACACACAGATGATTCATTTCACACCATCTGTCGGAGAGAAAATCCTCCTTCTGAGTCCTCCTTTGCAACGCTGTCTCTCCCCTATAAATCACTAAGCTCTCGCTTCGGCTCCTGTGTCAGGTTTTCCCTCTCCCCGCCGTGCGGTTTTGACTCTGGATGTGCCAGGTCATCTGCCGAGCCGCCTCCACGCCTGCCGGGGCGCTGCTCTCCCAGCACCTCGTGATGGACGGTCAGACTGGTGTTACGACTGCCTTTTCCCAGTACCTGTGGGTTTCTGCCCCTCCTTCGGGAGAGGTGACCCCAGCACATGCAACGTGTCTGGGCAATGCACGCAAGTTGCATTTATGTCTGAAACCCCTTTTTTTTTTTTAAGTATGCCTAATCTTTTATAATACCCTGTTCATACCCTGGCTTGCTCTGCCCTGCTCTCACCAGCCCCGTTCCTTTGTTTCCCATATATTCCTCGTGGCTCGCTGTGTGCCGTAATCCTGCCACGGGTCTGTCCTTGATGGCTGCAGCTCTGCCTTTGAGCCTGCCCTGGTACCTGCTCATCGTGCCAAGTGGAAAGTCACCAACCTACCACCTCCTGCTGAGAAACTTCTGGGTTTGGGTTCTCTAGGAGACAGGAGGATGCTACTGGCTGATGGGATGGCTCTGGGAGAAGTTTTGGTACCATGCTGGGGTAGAAGTATTGGGCTGAAAGCCTCTCTGTGGAAGAGCAGGGAAGAGATGGACTTTGCAGAGTGGCTGAATGTGAATGTGATTGCTGATCTGCACCAGGGAAAGCAGCCCTCTTCTGCTGCCTCTTACCATGATAATGTGATGTTTGGGGAAGCCGTCTGGGAGCTCTGCCATGTAACACCAGTAGGTTGTCTCCTGGCTCGGAATGACAACGTTGGGGGCCGTTATCTCCATGGTCTTCATGTCGCTGGGCAGTTCGGGGACGGTGATGTTGGGCTTTAGCAGCTGCACCCTCTGTAGTCCCCTGTGGATGCCAGAGATGTTGATGGCTTGGAGGGAACGGACCGGGTTTTCCAGGATCCCATAGATAAGGTGCACGGTGCCATCCTGAAGTGAGAGCAAAGTATAGCAGGTAGTTTTTCATGCAGAAAAGTGAACTGCATGGACTATTAGCACCAGTATTGGGGGCATGAATCCAGGAATAGGCGTTTTGGCTCATCCTTAGATGGGAAGCCACGCTAACTTCACCAGTAGCTCACTTTGCTGTGCTGTCCCAGAAAGAATGTAGATTTCAGGGCATTTCTTTGACTGCTGTGATCACAGAAAGTTCCCTGCCAGTTGGGAGAGTCTGAAAAGTTTCCCCTAGATAATATCAGGTCTGTAAGGGTAGCATCTCCTCTCTGCTCTTTCAGAGCCCCTTGTCCCTCCTGAGCTCCAGGCTGGGACAACCACATTGGTTCAGGGCTCGTCCCACCCTGCAGCCAAGCCCAGCCGCAGCAATGACCGGCGGCAGCAGACTGGAGAGGAACAGCAGAAACAAAACTTCTCCTGAAATCCTCCCTTTCTGCCAGCTGCTGTTGGGTGGTGGGTACTGTGAGAAGCTCTGCTGAAAGTCTACTGCAAGCAAGGAAGGTGCTGCTGAAAC